ATTCCTGGTGATGCTTTGCACCTTCAGAATGCTGTTTGGAAACAAACTTTTCTTATGAATTACTGTAATTATGTCTTTTAAGTGACTACACATTGGTGCAGAGCAAATGGCTAATTCACTCTGGCAAAGGTGCTTTCTCACTAGTAAAACTTTTTCTCATCTGGAAGAGGAGTTGCTTTTTCCCAGATGAATGTTGAAGGTAGGCACATAGCCTATTCTACAAAGAAGAGAACTCAGAAGTTATTTGCTTACTGATGCTCTGTGTTGATGCTGGTACTGTTTGTTTTAGAAACCAGGACCATTCCACTACCAAATTTTAAACAGAACAGAAAGGAGAGCTACTACATGTTGTAAAAGCTTTTGATGTAGTTGTCCCTGGGACCATTCAGGATGCTAAAAATCATCAAAATGCAATTCAACCAGATGAATGGTTGTAGTGGACTCCAGGGACACACTGATCTAGTTCTTGTATTGTTACCCTGGGCAAGCCACAGGAATCCAATTTTGCAAGGGGTTTAGGCTCCTAAAAATGAACATACACTCCCAGCAGGATTTGAAAAGCAACTGAGAAGGATCAGCAGTTTCCATCAGCTATAGCTGTAGGTGGTACTGGAAGCACTGAAATGTGCCAGAGTTTGTCGGGGCCCAAAGCCATGTTTGAGCTGGGGCTGAATGTGGTGCTTCCATGTATCAGACCTGTGTGATGATGAGATCTTGTTTTTGGTGGGAGGTAGCAGAGGTACATAAGAGGCCTGGCAATGTGATTGGCTTTCCTGTCAATGTTTTGCTGCTTTTTATTCACATACTTGTCCCTTTAAAAAGTCTCTGATAACTACAAATTTATCCTTGTTCAGATCCTTTCCCTAGTTAACTGTGCTTCAAAGCCTATGAGGTGTACCACTTGTTCTTCCTTTTCTGTGCTGCCATCCCTGGTTTGGCAAACTCTGCCTCAGTTCACAGCTGCAAACAGCTTATGGGTAAAACTACTAACAAAAAAAGGCTCATTGCTGTGTTAGTTTGCCTGTTGATTGGCAGTCTGATCACTTGCCTTTTGTTTCAGCTGTATGAGAGCTCCTGAAGGCTGACTTGAACTGGCTATGAGGTGGCTGTGGCAGGATGGCTCTCAATACGTGGGTCAGCCGCCCAGAAGTTGCCCTAGAAAAAAGTCTCGTTAGCTGCTCGTGCTGCTGTGGGGACCCGTGCTATGTGAACATCAGCTCAGACGGACACCCTTGAGCTATACCTGTGTCTTTAGACAGCAACTAGATCTGTGGGTAGAGGATTTAGGCCTTGCAATGAGGTTGATGCACCACTTGTACACATGGAGTTTAGCACAGGGTGACCCTTAACCATATTGGTGCATGTGCATGTCACCAGATTAAGAATTTCTGCTACTGCCATCAGTACTAATGCCAATGTAATGGTCATGTTTACAAATGCCTTCTGCATCTTCTGTTTCAGATATTGTGATTGTTTTGCAAACGGTGAATTCTGCAATAACTGCAACTGTACAAATTGTTATAACAACCTGGACCATGAAAACGATAGGCAAAAAGCAATAAAGGTGAGGGGTCTCTTCCCCTGCCCCTGGGATGAAAGCCGGTTTAGCTTGTGTCTTCAGAAGCTATGGCACAGGGCAGAGTGGGTGTATAATGCTGTGATCTCCTCCCACATATGCAAGGCTTAAGTTCTTTTATTGCACCTCTAAATTTTGCTCCCCACATGCAGTGACTGACCCTTTGGGTCTGCATTGACAGGCCTGCCTTGACAGAAACCCGGAAGCCTTCAAGCCCAAAATAGGGAAAGGAAAGGAAGGAGAATCAGATCGGAGACACAGCAAAGGGTGTAACTGTAAACGCTCGGGATGTCTCAAAAACTACTGTGAATGTTATGAGGTACGAAGTATTATCTCATCTTAAAGATACTGCCTTTTTCCCTTTAGTGCTGCTGATTTGCTTTTGTCTCTCTGTATCGCTATAATGTTTTGTCTTCTGTTCTTTTCTATTGCTATGATGTTACCTCTTTTTCCAGCAGTTTGCATGTAGAAAGCCATGTATATGGCAAAATCGATCACTTCTGTCGTATAAGTTTAATTTTAAACCATGTAGCAACTTTGAACTCAGGCTTGGACTTCTCCTTTCCTGAAGAGCAGTATTTCCTAAAGAAATCTAGTGAACCAAGTCCTAGCAGGAGTTGAAGCAGCATCCCACAGATGCTCTGGGATAGAACATGTCTTTGGAAGACAAAAGCAAAAGATACTGCATCAGCTAACTGAGCAGTCTGTGGATGTAGAGACAGTGGCAGACTGACCCCTCCCATAGCTCAACCAACTAAATTCTACCAGAAACAGTTGGTTCATGAAGAAAGGGATGAGTGGGAAACATTGATTTGCATTTGATTCAAATATACGTTCTGGGAAGGCCAGGCATCTCACTTTGAGGTGAGAATTTAGAGAGAAAACCACTACTTGGGAGTTTCTTCTGGTGGCGGATTGATAAGAGATTAAAGCAAGATCTCCTTTTCGTTGTGGCTTGTCATAAAGGGAGTTAAGGTTGCAACAGTTTTTTCATTGTTTTGTTTGTTTCTTTCAGGCAAAAATCATGTGTTCTTCCATATGCAAATGCATTGGCTGTAAAAATTTTGAAGAAAGCCCGGAGCGAAAGACATTGATGCATTTAGCAGATGCTGCAGAAGTTAGGGTCCAGCAGCAGACCGCTGCAAAGACCAAGTTATCTTCCCAGATCTCAGATCTGCTGACAAGGCCAACACCAGCACTCAGCAGTGGTGGTGGGAAGTAAGTTAATGTAGCACCCTGTTTTCAGTTGCTTCTCACATGTTTATTCTGATGTATGTGACAGGTGTGTCCCTGTCATCTTTGAATGTTATCTGTGCAAGCTGTAGAAGCAGGAGCACGCAGGTGAATAGAGCTTTTTGTTCACACAACCATGCTTTCTGTGGAACCTAGGGTATGCAAAGCTTAGCTGTATTCAAGCACATAACTAAGCATTATCTTCTCATGGTTGCCCATGTGCTTACAGAAAGCATGAAGTACAAGTGTCCTGTTTACTGAGAGGATGCAATCCTTGAGGTGCCCTTATAGTAAAAGCTGGAGAATTGTTCTATGTACCTAGGTATTTCAAAGTCTATTTAAAAATGTCCATCAGTGGAGGCAGGCACTAAAGTACATTGGCCCACCAGTTCCTTATGACTGTAACTGTGGCTTATTCACTCCCTGTTGGTTGTCTAAAGGCTCTTGGAAGCATTGGTACAGATCAAATCTCATCTGTCCTTGTAGTAAAAAGTTGCCCAGTCCTGGAGTTAAATGCATTATGTGTTTTTGCTGAGAGTGAGTGGGTTTTTCTTTGTTTCAGGCTGCCCTTTACGTTTGTAACCAAGGAGGTAGCTGATGCAACCTGTGAATGCCTTCTCGCACAGGCAGAGCAAGCAGAGAAGATGGGCAAGTCAAAAGCTGCAGCAGAGCGCATGATCCTGGAGGAGTTTGGACGCTGTTTGATGAGGGTTATTAACTCTGCAGGGAAGTCCAAAAGTGACCCTTGTGCCATGAACTGCTGACTTGTGCACATGAGCCACAACAAAGTGGACTGAACAGAACACTTACGGCACAGGGACACTTTGGTTTGGCATAGAGGATTTAATATTTGTTAATTTGGTGCTTGTTGTAAATTAACCAGTGTAAGATTTAAACAAGAAAATCTTTTACAACAACATGCAGAGCCTTTTAAGTCTTAGCTAAATCCTCTTCTACTTAAGACAATGCCTAAAGGTCAATTCTTCTTCCCGATGTACAGCTTTTACCTTGGGTTTCTTAAAAATTAGATGTGTTCTCCCCTTTCCCCCAGAATAATTGCCTGAAGGGCATATATAAATTATATTATTTACAGTGTATGGACTTGCATCACTTTGTGCATACAGGAAAACACAGGTGATGTCAACAGCTAGGTGATTCTTTTGGCAACAGGCCTATAATAAGGAGGTATCAGTGTATCCAAGATAGTTCTAAAAGGAAGCGTGTAAAAATGAGCATCTAAATGGTAATTTAGGACCTGACACAGCATGTTCCTTTAGTGCACAGAGCACTGTGAAATACACAGGCAATGATACAGAGGGGTTGCTTGCAGATTTAGCATTGGGCAAGTGGTGGAGAATCTCGCTGGAGTGGGGCCCAAGGAGTTGAGGCAAACAGAATTAATGGGAATTTTTTGATAGGAATGTGGCTGAGAGCTCAGATGTTTAAGCTGCACCTTGAAGGCTAAGAGATTGGCCTGTCCTTAGAGGAAGAGCAGCCACACCACTGTCTGCCCAGTGTACAGTGTTACTGAAGTTTGCAACAGATGGATGCTGTTGCTTACGTGAAGCTTGCTTTTTGCAGCAGCCTAATCCCTCACTGGAGGTAGGGCTGTGCGGTCCGTTGCGTTTTCTAGGATCGAGCTGCAACCCTAGAAAAGTGTTTAAGAAGCTGAGGTCACAGAAGACAGTGGAACCACAGTTGTCTGAGGACTTGAGACAACCTGCATCCAAATCGACTTGCAAACGCAGGTAGGGATCATGTTCAGCCTGCTTGTGGGTCTTCAGGATGCTGCTTCTCTGTATGTTGGCAATTTACTTTGTGTAAGCGTTTTTTAGTGTTGTTTAGAATGACTGAGAGCCATGATCAGAGAGGGTGCTAGCACAGAATCAGGATTGCTACCAAAATAGACACACAGATCCTTTTACATAAAGCAGGGGGGACAGGGGGAATCAACTGTAACTGTTGTATAGTCTAGGGCAGGGGATTTTTTTCAGTATTTCTTACGGGCAATCTCAGATCACATTTTTGATAGTGGAACACATTTGCAAAATTAATGGTAGGTTTCTTATCTACCATGATCATCAATAACCATGTTTAATCACAGACATTTTTATTACTTGTGTCATTGCAGCCTGAACTAGCTAGGTTTTCCCAAAACGGATTCTGTATTCCTCGTGTAAAACTGTAAATACAGAGAAATGCAGCACAGTTTTCCATCCAGGTCTTCTAGCAGGCCCAGGCTGTGGTAAGGTGGGGGCTAGGCAAACCAGCAGCAGAGCTAAGTGCCTACATGTGTGATGGCAATGGGGATGGGAGGATGCTTCTACTCCTGTCTTCACCCCATGGTCCTGTGCACTGAGCAGAAGGCCCTTTCTTCTTGACCCTTCTCTGGTGCCTCCTTGAAAATGATTCAGGGGCACGAAGGGCCTGGGAGGCAGCCAGCAGTGGTGGTGGGCTCACTGAGTGACCACTGCAGACAAGGTCTCTGTCTGAAGGGCCCCGTCTGCTATTAACATCTTCCTGACCATAAATAGCAAGTATATTTGTGCAAGTCTCTGAAAAGGGAATCCACCTCTTGTGTAAGTAAATGCCTTTTTTTTTTTTTTTCATAATTAGGACTTGGATTTACTAAGAAATCAGTGCAGCAACTTTACATGTAGATAGTACAGATATTCATTTTACTTCTAGTGACCTAATACAGTATGTCCAGTAAGATTTGTATAAATGTAAATTAGTGTAAGTGAATAAAGTAGTACCTACTTACATTATTTTTCAAACAGAATGCAATATGCCTTCTTTTGTTTAGACTTCAATCCATGTTAATTTTGTATATATTCTGTGTCTTACTCTAAATTGCACCTTTTGTGATGTGTATTTATATACAGTGTGCAAAAACACTTGTGAAATTTAGACTACAGTTGTAATTATGTATGATGGCATTGCTTGAGAAAATTTTTGCTTGTAAAGACTTTGAAGGTGCAATCAAATGCTCTTAATTCTTCTATTTTGTTTTGAACAAGCCTTCTCAAATATTAAGCTTAGATTCCTCTCTCTCCCTGTCCCTGGTGTAGAATGTGCAAATTGGTTTATGTACTTCCTTGGCCTTTTGCATCAAACTGCTGGACAAGATTTACAGTTAAGTTCATCCAGTTACATAAAAATAATTGGGAATTGGGTAAGGGTTCATTTTCTAGATCTGTTTACATCTGAAAGTAGAAAAATTAAATTTATATTTACTAGACCTATTAAAAAAATAAACTTTTCTATATTGTACAAATAAAACAGTCAGATAAATCACAAAGAAAAATAAACATTTATACTATTCTGTAAATACGATTTTTTTTGCACTCCTTTCCTTCAGCACTGACTAATATACACAGAAGATTTTCACTGAAATATCAAAATAAATCCGTTAACGCTAGGCCCACTTCTGGCTTCGATTTTCAGTATGAGATGGAACCCTACCAGAGATAAATCCTTGGTTACTGGTGTACTGTCATGCATAGCAATTCATGGCACATTGTGGCACAGTCCATAAAGGGCCAAAATGTGTCAACGAAGCCAGCACCAGGCAGTTGAGCCCATGTGGTAATTTCTCAATTTCTTTTAAACTCTTTAATTAGAGAGAGTGTAGTTTTTCCATATGCGCTGGCTGGACAAGAGTTAGGCTCAGCCTGAGCAGAAAGACATGCGAGGCCATTCTCCAGAGCCCTTGAAGGCAGCAGCATGCCACACAGAGCTTGTTGAGGAACCCAGGCAAAACTGAGGCAAAGCTTTGTCGAGAGCCTTAGGCTGCTTGTTAGCAGGATGCAATGTACAAATGTTTTCTTGTGGCATTTGTGTCTTTTTGTCTGTCTTGGGGAGGAGGTTTGTGAGCAGCTCTTTCAAAGCTATATTACTCAGCTGCATTAAGGAATACAAGTCACTTTTTGTGCATTTTAATTGTTTCGGTTTTGTGCATTTTATTTTTGTGCAATTTCTATGTTCAGCTTTTTTTAGCAGCTTGGTAAAGATAGTGTACAATCGATACTCAGGGATTCTTAGGAGCGTCGTTAGGATGTTGAGTGAACAAAAGATGTTACTGGATAGAGCTGTCCTCACCAGCTGCTGCAAGAGAAGGCTGTCGGTTACCTTAGGCCGCAGTAGAGGACTGAGTGAAGGAATGAGGTGCTCAGAGTGACTTAGGGGTGGGTTTGTATGGACCTCATGGAGGGCGTGGTGCTAGCAAGAGTGAGGGTGTTAGAGAGAGATGGTGAATGTCTGAGCAAGGAGTTGATGGGAAGAGGAAGCAGTGTCCAAGACACTGGGAAAAGGAGTGGTGCAGAAAATCACGTAGTCGCAATTGTGGAGTTACAAATGCTGAAAAATTCTGTTGGAACTTGACAGTGCTTGCAGTGTGAGCACAGCCAGCAGTATGTGTGGTGTTAACAGCAGGCTGGTATTCTTAGAAAATAATGGTAGTTGGTACAGGGTTCCTCTAACAACTGCCAAGCTTTCTTACGATATTGGATGGCTTTGTTAATAACTGCCGTATTCTTTTCTAATAATGTACTTTTGCTCAAACGTCATCCTACCAAGCCCTGTAAAACTTCCTCAACATCTCTTGAAAACCTCTGCCATCAACATTCCAGTGAATTACAAAACAATGTGTGAACTGTGTTAGTCATGGGTTACGGGCAGGTCAGCCACAAGAATGCACAGAGCCCGATGTCAGTCTGTCTGTGCAGTGGTCTCCGGCTCAGTTCACTGCTCAGGAGCAGCTGTACAAAACCCCTGAGAAGTTCAGAGATGGGGAAGCCTTGTACACAGTACACTTGCCATGTTCGCGACTTCACCCCAGCAGCCAGGATCTCATGCATGTCTTCATGCAGGAGCTTCCCGTTCTGGAGGGGGCTCGGTAGGAACCAAGACAGACAAGCTCCCTCCAGATGTAAACAGGAAGCAGCAGCAGGCTTAAGTCCAGCCAAAAAAAATGCACAGCGAGGAAGTGCCTGCTCCCTACAGCTCAGTTCATACTGGGGCTCGAGGTTTAGGCAATGCAAACATTACAACATCACATGCGTGCAACCCATCAACCACTGGGATTTCAGCAGCATTTTCCAGTTGTCATTAAAATCACATATATACGAGAGGGAAAGTTTTCTGCACAGTCTCTTGTAGCTGCAGTGGCTCCATGGTAGTGACAGCTTCAGCATGGCTTTTTGCATAGGTAATTGGACTAGGAAAAAAAGTCTAGAGATTTTGGTTTGCTACTCCCAGCAGAGAACGCACAGGAGTTCCCTGGTGCTGCTGCGCTCAAAGCAGAGCTTGAGGAATTGAGTGCAGCAGCTCTGCTCTGACCATGACCGAGTAGGACTAAGGGGAGGAGGAAGAACCCAAACTGACCAGGGATTTTTTTGTCAAGTCACTGGTAGGCATAATGGCACCCTGAATATTATTCCTGTCCTGGGACATGGTGGATCACAATTTTTCATCCTGTCTCTAACATGCAGCTCAAAAGTAACTGAACAGCCAGAGTTTTGTGGGACATAGTGGCCTTCCATCTCTATGGATGCAACTGCTGTTTTGCATGGCAAAGGGAAGCCATTTAGCAGCAGTTATGCCAAACTTCACTATTCCAGGTAAAGCACTGCATACCAAGGCAGCTTCCTTGCCACAGGAATGAACTGACTGAAGAAGCCTGTCCCACCTGGTGGCATCAAATCTGTGATTCAAGTAATCAGTGGAAACATCTGAAAGGGAGACTGCCTTGTGTCCTGCCAGCTCTGTGAGGATGGGGCCATGTGGCACAGTTGAATGGGTGGGACCTGGAACACTTGCCCTGCTAGAGCACACCCATAAGCTAGCGCCTGGGGCTCCTGCCCAAAGAGAAGGGTGTCAGTGCCCCTGGGTACTGCTGGGCACAACAGCCTGGTCACAGCCTCAGTGCTGCCCTCTCACCTTCACGGACAACAGCCTCTGATTAGTATCCACTACCTCATTTGTAAAATATGAGGCTTTAGGGGCCCAGTTTGATATTGTAGTCCCCCCTCCAGGGCATCTAGACTTAAACAGCTTGTTTAGCTGTTTGAGACATGTAGGAGTGAAGATTAGAGCTTGTAAGTGCTATTTTCATGTCTTTATTTTTCTTAAGTAAAAGCTCTGCAAGCTTTCTTGCCTCTAGATTTTTAAAGCAGACCTGCTTTCATGAAATCAAATTGCCAGCACATGTGACTCCCCCTCAACTGCATGGAAGATGCATCAGTTTTCTCTTGGCAAAAGCACTTGCAGCACTAAGGCACCCAGCACCTCCAGGGGACACTGCAGTGTCCCCTTACCACTTTTGCAGGCATCTTGAGCAACCATTATTCATCCTGACCTACCACACAAGTCTCATGAAATATGTGGCTGCTTTGCAGGATTGCTAGATGGAACACAAGATCAGATGAACTTTCTTGCTTTGCTCAGCCAAACTCTGATCAGATGGTTTTCAATGGCCCAACATATCACTGCTTATCAACACCAGTTTTGCTGGCCAAATCACAGGAAGACACAACATCATTTCCTGGCATGCATTGCCTAGATCTGGCCTCAGTAGTGGGCAGCCATCCTTACAACAGCAGGGAGTGCTCATGTCCCTGCATGGGTATGGCTTGTCTGACAGCTGCCCAGTAGTGATGGAAACAAATGTTTTCCCTTCAGTCTCTTCAATCTGTGCCTTCCACAATGGTATGTCAAGTTCAGGTACTTGGCATGGTTTGTTCTGATGTTTAAGTAACATCGTGTTATTTCCTTTACTAAGATTGTGTAGTGATTGTTGACGCACAACTCCCCATCAAATAAATGGTTTGTGAGGGTGGGGAAGAGGGGACTTTCTCCTAGAAGCTCCTGGAAGACTTTCTGTTCCAGAGACAAATGCCATAGCTTGGTGTTTTTGTTGCCGTCTCCTACTTTACCGTACCAGTTTAGGACTTGTTCCGAAATGCTTGTTATGGTGTACACACTTGCCGAGGGCAGACTCACTCCACCTAACTTTTTTATGTAGAGCACTGACCCGCATTTTCGCCTGCTCTCATCTGACTCAAAGAGGGAAGCAAGGCAAGCCTCGCACTGCAAGTCAGAGGCTAATTGCTCAGCAATGAAGCCCGCAGTGCAAGTGATGCTCTGTGCATGCAGCGACAGGTCTGTCAGCACACTGCTCAGTGCAGAGCCGCGCAAAAGAAGGCCTGCACTATAGGGGTACTTCATTGCCAATGTCCTCCCATGAGCTGGGTTATACTGAGCATGGACACTACCAAGGGTCAGATCTCTCCTACGAGACAGGGATATGTCCAAGCAGCTCATATTGCCTGAGCCATTGCTGTGTGGTGAGCCTGGTGCCAGGCTGCAGCTGGCGAGCAGTCTGTGGTAAGCTGCCTGGAACACAGTGCAGGTGGGGTTCCCACTGCTGCCGCAGGCTTGCTGGAGGCACC